AAAATTGGATTTGATCCTCCAAAACATAAGCATTCATGTGAGCTTCCTCTTAGATACCTGAGTATCCACTTTACAGCTTCCCAATGCTCTTTTCCTGGATTTTCGAGAAATCTGCTAACAACACCGACTGCATGAGCAATATCTGGTCGAGTGCATACCATTGCATACATCAAACTTCCAACAGCAGAGGAATAAGGAATCATGTCCATTCTTTTTTTTTCCTCCGTTGTTGTTGGACACATCTTCTTGCTCAACTTCAGATGACCAGGAAGAGGTGTGCGAACCAACTTAGAACTTTTCATATTGAAGCGCTCCAGTACACGTTCTATGTACTTCTCCTGTGACAAGTAAAGCTTCATTTCGTCTCTCGAACGAGTAATTCTCATGCCCAAAATCTGTTTAGCATGACCCAAGTCTTTCATTGCAAAAGACTTATTCAACTGTTTCTTCAACTCGTCAATCTTAGAAGAATTCCTGGCCACAATCAACATATCATCCATGTATAGCAAGAGGATGATAAAATCGTCATCAGAAAATCTTTGTACAAACACACAGTGATCTGAAGAAGTCTTCTTGTAGCCTTGCTCCCCCATAACAGACTCAAACTTCTTGTACCACTGTCTGGGAGCTTGCTTCAATCCATATAGACTCTTCTTAAGTTTGCATACAAGATTTTCTTTACCTTTTGCCTTGAAGCCTTCAGGTTGTTCCATATAAATCTCCTCTTCTAAGTCACCGTGAAGAAAAGCAGTCTTCACATCCATCTACTCAATCTCCAAATCAAGACTGGCAGTCAAACCAAGAACTGTCCGAATGGAGGACATTTTTACGACAGGAGAAAATATTTCGTCAAAGTCAACACCTTTCCTTTGACCAAATCCTTTGACAACCAATCTAGCTTTGTATCTGGGCTTCAAACTATGTTCTTCAGCTTTAACTTTGAACACCCACTTGTTCTTCAAAGCTCTCATGCCCTTAGGCAATTTCACCAACTCATAAGTATGGTTCTTATGCAGAGATTTCATCTTATCTTGCATGTCCTCAATCCATTGATCCTTGTGCTCATCTTTTATGGCCTCCGCATAACATTCAGGTTATCCCCCATCAGTGAGTAATACATATTCATTTGGTGAATAACGGGAGGAAGGAGTACGAGGTCTAGAAGACCTCCTGAGTGGAATATCTAACTCGTTCACAGCTTCGTGAGTAGGAGCATCTATCTCATCAACATTAGCATTATTATCCCCATCACCATCAATATGTTGATCTGGAATATGGTTCTGGGCATCACCATCATCATTGATCCCACCAGTGTCATCCCCATTTGCATGAGGAACCTGATCAAGATTAACTAAACCTTCAGAACTTGAAGATTTTAACTTCTCCGCTTTGTTAATATCTTCAATGGTTTGATCCTCCACGAAGATAACATCACGACTTCTCACAACCTTCTTCTCAATTAGATCATATAGCCTGTAACCAAACTCATCAAGGCCATAACCAATGAAGATGCACTGCCTTGTCTTGGCAGTTAATTTTGACCTATCATCTTTAGGCACATGTATAAAAGGTTTGCAACCAAACACTTTCAAGTGGTCATAGGAAACATCCTTGCCACACCAAACTTTGTTTGGAACATCACTTTGCAAAGCAACCGCAGGGGATAGATTAATAACATGTGTGGCGGTCAACAAAGCCTCACCCCAAAAGGAATTCGGCAACTTTGCTTCAGAAAGCAAACATCTGACTCTTTCCATCAATGTTCTGTTCATCCTTTCTGCTAAACCATTAAGCTGAGGAGTCTAGGAGGAGTCTTCTAGTGTCTGATACCCTGTTGTTTGCAGTATTCATCAAACGGTCCACAATATTCACCACCGTTATCAGTACGAATACACTTCAGCTTCTTTCCAGTTTCTCTTTCAACTGAAGCCTGAAACTACTTAAAGACACCCAACACTTGGTCTTTAGTCTTCAAGATGTAGACCCAAAGTTTCCTTGAACAATCATCAATAAAGGTAGCAAAATAAAGTGCACCACCCAAAGTTCTTGTCTTCATTGGACCACATAAATCTGAATACACCAACTCAAGCAACTCTGTCTTTCTTGAAGGAGGATGAGACTGGAAAGAAACTTTTTTTTGTTTTCTAGACAAGTAGTGCTCACATTTTTTTAATTTTGCACTTTCAAAATTTGACAACAATTTCTTCTTGGCCAGAACATTTAGTCCTTTCTCGCTAATGTGGCTAAGCCTCTTATGCCATAACGTTGAAGAGTTATGGCTCTCAACG